ACCTGGAAAACATTAGATTAGGTAAAAAAAACTTATGTATGTTAAGACACAATAAATGATAGATATGTCAACAAATATTTGTCGTCTCACATAAAACTTGCTGGTTAAAAACAAATATTAAGCAAAATACTTTACTTTGAAGTTAAAAAATGTCATTCCTTGAAATTTCCTGTATATTCTAACAGTGAATCAATACAAAACTTTATAAAAATTAATATTCAGCAGAAATATAGAAAATTAATCACCAAAAAAGGAAAATAACACGCTTATCATGCAATTTAAAAGTGATGTTGCAAGTGCACATGTCGCCATTGATTGAATGACAGTGAATAAAAATATCGAATCATCGTCGATAACAAATACTCTCCCTTAGAATTCCTGAGAATTATTTTGCACGCATTCATAACCGATGGATTAGTTCTCGGCTGATCAATAAGTCGTATCACAACATAAAGATCAGGATTGTAGGTGGGTCACTTAATACAGACACACAGAGATATAATTATACTATATGTTTGAATTTATATATAAATTTTCTATAAAAAAGTAAATTGAATCAACTCTTTTGTGTTTGATGAAACATTTTAAAATTTCATATATTAATTATGTTGAAAAAGGGAAAAAGTTCACAAATGATAACATTCTACAAAATCCCGCGTATTTGCATTATTTGAACTTTTCAACCTGGAAAACATTAGATTAGGTAAAAAAAACTTATGTATGTTAAGACACAATAAATGATAGATATGTCAACAAATATTTGTCGTCTCACATAAAACTTGCTGGTTAAAAACAAATATTAAGCAAAATACTTTACTTTGAAGTTAAAAAATGTCATTCCTTGAAATTTCCTGTTTATTCTAACAGTGAATCAATACAAAACTTTATAAAAATTAATATTCAGCAGAAATATAGAAAATTAATCACCAAAAAAGGAAAATAACACGCTTATCATGCAATTTAAAAGTGATGTTGCAAGTGCACATGTCGCCATTGATTGAATGACAGTGAATAAAAATATCGAATCATCGTCGATAACAAATACTCTCCCTTAGAATTCCTGAGAATTATTTTGTACGCATTCATAACCGATGCATTAGTTCTCGGCTGATCAATAAGTCGTATCACAACATAAAGATCAGGATTGTAGGTGGGTCACTTAATACAGACACACAGAGATATAATTACACTATATGTTTGTATGTATATATAAATTTCCTATATAACAGCTAAAGCTTTCTAGATAACAGTGCGATAATTTTAAAATAAAAAAATATTATTTGGAAAGAATGTGAAAGCATTGCTAATAAGCACACGATGGAAAATTTACTCGTGATTTTCCTCGAAACGGAGCAAAATATTAATATCACCTCTGTTTTATTATAGATAATTATTTATTAATAACCTTAATGGAAAAATTCGATCTATCGTTTTCTGACACAGAAATGGAGGAGCCAGTGAAACCTCACCCTTCCTATCCAGTTCAGCATATTCAAAAACCCACACCAAGACCTGACTTTCTATATCCACAGCAATACAATCAACATGATAAAACTAACCAAGTTTTTATGGAGTTTCCTAGCAAGTCTTTCATGAAGAATGAAATTAAGAAACAATTCTCACCAACAAAATCCTCTACAAAACCAAATTTACCAAGTGGTTTGGGAAGTTTTTCCAACTACTACCAGTTCATGAGTGAAACGATCGATGAACAAGGTCCATACCGAATGATGGTCTTTAATGACTTCATGACGGCCAACCTCAACACCACTGCCCATGGAATTCCTAATTATGCTCGCGCAAATGGTATTTATCACTTCGTTCTTAAATAAATACATCTTACAAAGCACGGTTTATCACATTTTAGATTTTCATATTTTATAAATGAACACTACAATGAAAATATTAATCCGCAGTTAAATACTTGTATACTTTTAGCTCAAATGATTCATAAATTAAAAAGTTAATCGAACTTAACATTTTGCAGCAGAACTTTAAATTATTTTATAATAAATACGTACATATAAGATATTATTTGTAAAATTTCACGTATTTAAAGCTATAACAAACTAATGAAATTCTAAAAGGAAAATTCAAAAAAATGTTTTGGGGTTTGACAATACTGTTGATGACATCTGGAATGGTTTTCAACATATACGAACTGACACAACGCTACATGGATCGGCCGAAGCAAGTAACACTGAGCATCACTAGGAACGATGCACTGAACTTTCCATCAGTGACCATCTGCAACATGAATCCTGTCAAAAAATCTGCCCTAGATGGCCAACGGAACACAAGTTCGTTGCAACAATTTTCCTTCTTTCCAATTTTCTTTCAACTAATTATATTTTTATCTTCAAACTTATTAGTAGGTATGATTTGAAGATATTTCATATTTAAAATATGATTATTTCAATTTTATTTCAATTAAAACGTTAATTTGTTAAAAGGCTCCAATGGTAACAGAGGATCAAGTAATGACGGAAGTTCTACCAACGCACAAGGTAACGTTGCGAGGAGAAAACGACAAATCAACACTAACTACTATTCAGCCAGTACATTTTTTAGATCTTATTAAAACATTTACATAAATAAATTTGGCATTATTATATTTTTGTATAATAATAATTATAATAACATTAAGTGATTTAAACAGTGAATGTGATGAAGTTTGTACTGCATATAATCACAATTTAAAATTTGTTTCAACTAATACCGAAAATCAAAAGTTAAATGAATGTAGTTATTTTTTTATTTCAATGTAAAACTTCAGATTGTCCAGAGAATTGGTTGTATTACTCAAACTACTGCTATGGAGAATTTTCATTGTCAGCATCTTGGCATGTTGCTAATTCCACTTGTGTGAGGTTGTGAAAATTTTTTCTGCGCATGTTAACGATTGTTATATATTTTTAATTTTTTTAAATGCTATTATGAACTTATAAGTTACAATTAAACCTTCGTGCCAGAAAACACACTTGCACATTATGTATGCACGCGCAAGCACCGCATCATACCGGTATGATGGTCATTGAGTTTCGGACAGACAGTATTCGAACCATGCTTAAAACGCCATACTTGGCACTTCTACCGGCTTAGTTGAATAGTTAATTGAATAATTATACTTTTTTTTATTAATTAAATTAAAATAATTCATTTTTCAAGTAATCAGGCTCAATTACTTAGCATCACAGATCAAGAAGAATTTGACTTTGTTGCAGCAACAATGTAAATAATATTTTTTTTGAAACAAAATTATGCTTTGAGAACTTTAAGTTATTTTTAGAAAAAAAACAACTATATATTTAGATTATTTATATATTAAAATTGTTAATAAATATTTTAATCGTATAATTGGAATATTTAAATATTATTGTTGATTAAAATTTAAATCATTATTAATTAACCTACTTTTGTAATTTTTACATAGCAAGATAACAATATATTGGAAATAAAATAAATTTTTTGAAACATTTTCAGACTGGATGCAAGTTTGCGTAGTGCAATTTGGCTTGGTTTGTTAAAAACAGATGGTAATGTCGTGAACAGTGCCACATACTATACTGATGGTTTACTCAATGATCATTTGGAACTGAAACATCATATGATAATCTGTATTTTAAAAACCTTTAAAAAATATCAAACAGTCAATTGTAAATTTATAAATATATATCTATTATAATTGGCAAACATTCACACAAATCATGTAACATTTGAAATACAATTTTATAAACATTAAATCATTTTTAAAGTAAACATATTTTCTACTTAAAAACCAGGCAACAATACACCATTCCGCGTGTACACTGTTAATTCTTTCGATGAAGCATCCATGTGCATCAGACTTGAATACATTAACATGATATTCTTAGATCCATCTTGTGATACCAGCTACAAATTTGTATGCAAACGAAAAGGTACGTAAATAGGTAACACAGCAACATTTGTAAATTTGGAAAAATTTGTCAGGTGTTTAGGTCGAACATAAGCCAAATTTTAATTTATTATATTATTTACTTACTTTAACAAAATCAATCAGAAAAATAATAAATACTTACTATAACCGTTAATTGTTTTGAAATATAAATTGTATATATGTACAAACAAGCCATCTATCACAAATTTGAACTAAAACTTAGCTCAACCAGTTGCAACAACTGCAACTTCTACTACAATGATAACTACATCAACCACAACAACCACAACTACAACAACCACAACTACTACTATAACTACAACTACAACCAAAACTACAACAACAACAACTACTACTACCACAACTACTACTGCTACTACATCAACCACAAAAACAGTCTTGACTTCAACTACAACAACCACCACTACAACTACTAATATCACTACTACTATTACTACCACTAATACTACTACTACAACTAGTTCGGTTTATACTTTTACAACATCAACTATAAAACCAACAACAATAACAACATTAATAACAACAACTACGTCTCAGTCAACAACTGCATTAGCAACGACAATGAGACCAGTTGATCTCATGTGTTGCTGTACATGTTGTCTAGCGAATAACAATTACGACGCACAACATTGTCGGTCTAGCAGCAAGAGCAACATGGACTCAGCAAAAAATATGGCCTATAGACAGCTCAGCTCTGTCGTCAACCCATCCATCTCTACAAATTTCGAACCGCCAACGATAATCAACGGCAGTCAGTTCAACAGGACGACTCTTAGCGATAATTTTCAGAAGCAAGAACAATTCTTCGAAAGAATTGCTACACTGTCGACTTCTGAGCAGAAATCTTATGGGTACAGTGTGAGTGACTTGATAAACTACTGCACATACATGGGGGAACGGTGTGATTTATCCAAGTCAGTTGCAGTTGAATCATTTTTCAGTGGTCTTATTCTTGCATGTCTTTGTTAATTTATTTGTTTTGAGAAAATTTTTTATATTTATACTGAATATCAACACCATACATTTTATCCATAGTCATTCAAAATATATTTTATATGCACACACAAACACGCACCAGTTTCAAACGGCAGAAATGCATTGTTATTTTAGTTAACTCGTAATATGATCTTTTGCCACATTGAAGGGCTTTCAATAGTCCATTCTTCGGAACGATCGATATTGATATGAACGAGAGATTTGTACTAATACCTCGTTCTTTTGTGCTAATCGATGAACTTTTCGTTCATGTCTTGTCTCAGTTGTTGAAATAAATAGACATTAATGAGAGTAAAATTGAAAACGTTTTCAAATTAGAAATTTTATAATTATCTCAACATTCGATCAATGTTCCATGTTAGACCACGGATAACAATAAATTTTTACAAGATCTATCAATATTAATTTTAATTTTGTTAATGATCTCGACTAAGATTTTTTTCTAAAACCAAAAATCATTATTGGCATCACTTTGTTCAAAGGCAACATTTATTTTAAAGCCATTAAAAAATCTAAAATTAGAAACAAATGCTGTGCCAAAATCAATTTTATTATTAACTAATAATAATACTGATTTTGCCAAACTTAGTGCCGCAAAAAACAATCCAATTTGTTTTAAAATTATTAAAATTTTCTTACTCAAAAGATTAATATTTGGATTAATAAAATGTTGACATTATTTGTATTACAATTATACTTCAAACAATTTGTGAGCAGTGATTTTGAAAGTTTCTACAACCCCTTACACGGGAACTGTTATGTTTATAACTCTGGTTGGAACGATTCCAAACAAATAGTGACGGCCACCAGGGAAGGTCCAAAAAACGGTTGGAAAATTTATTATTGAAAAATTGAATAAAAATTGATGAAAAATACGGAAAAAACATTGGTAGAGTTGTAGCAATTTAATATGAAACATCAAAAGGTTTGGAGATGGTTGTGAATATCGATCAGATGGATTACGTGAAGCAAGCAGGAAGTCTGGCAGGGATCCGTGTCGTCATCCTCGACCAGAATCAGATGCCGTTTCCTGAAGACGAGGGAGTCTCAGTTGGCCCTGGACAATTAACTTACATCAGTTTACAACGGGTAGTATACATTAAATTCTTTTAAAATTTGAGCCCGTTCATTAGAAGAAGGACATGGGACTCTGGTTATTTTAAAAATCTTAAAGATTGTATTTATTAATGAATAAATGGATCAATCAAATTGATAACTCTAAGCACGAGATAAATCGGTTGGGCTCTCCTTACGGCAGCTGCACCGAACAGTTGTTTGACCCATTCACCAGTGCATATTCCGCATTCTACAACGTTCAATATCGGGCCAAAGTGATTTTTATCCATTATCTTTTTTTCAAAAACTTTCTATTGATAACAATTTAATACTAAAAAATTATTAATTTTAATAAATACAAACTTTTGGCGCCAAAAATGATGGCGATGTGCAAATGATTACGTAACCAGGGTTGTGAGTACACGTGCTATCAAAAAAAAATTATGCACGAGTGTGGATGCATAGATTTCAGTTATCTTAATATAACTGCCTTAATGGAGAATATCAACGCCGACAACATGAGCTTGTGTCAGTCTGGGAACTTCGAACAAGGTTGAGTGGATAAAATTTAATCACAACATATCACTGTTATATTATTATCATATCAAACTAATTATTTGTTGACTTGCTGCAAAAGTTTGTGTTTACTTCATACAATTTTTTTACAAACGAACATGTTTCTCGAATCATTTCCAGACGAATGTAGGTATGCAATAAAAATGAAATTTATGAATAAGTCACTGACATGTGATTGCCCTGAACGATGCAAGTTAGAAAATTTCTATCAATAATATCAAAATTTTTTGTAAAAAATATAATCAAAATTAACATTGTTACAGTGACGTGATCTTTGACAGTTTTTCCTCGTATTTGGACTGGCCGATGAAAAGCGAGCAGGTTTCAATTAACTTTGTAATATTAATATATAAATTGTTCATTGTTGTTGTCAACTTCAAAATTACAAACTAGTTTTAATTTTCGTTAAACAGGCTAAAATCGCCCAAATGTATAACCTGACGCAAGATGAAGTAGTGACAGACAACCTGCTGAGAGTGGTCATATACTTTTCCGACTTTCACGTTCATGAGCTGGATGAAGGACCCGCTTATGAAGTATGGTTACTGTTTTATGAGGCTGAGATTGTTTAATTTATTTTGCTCATCAAATTATCTTGTCAGTTGGTCCAGTATCTCTCCGACTTGTGTGGAGTTACTGGTTTGTGGTTCGGATTCGCTATGATGACGTTCTTCGAATATTTCGAACTCCTATCAGACGTTATTGTTTTTTCTATTTTCAATATTTTCCGTTTGTGTACAAAAAAAGTAAATTGAATCAACTCTTTTGTGTTTGATGGAACATTTTAAAATTTCATATATTAATTATGTTGAAAAAGGGAAAAAGTTCACAAATGATAACATTCTACAAAATCCCGCGTATTTGCATTATTTGAACTTTTCAACCTGGAAAACATTAGATTAGGTAAAAAAAAACTTGACTACTGATTAATGTTTATGGATCATGAACTTATTCAGAATAAAAATCTAAAGAAGAAGTATACATGGCATAATAAATAGTAAAAAGTGCTCAATAACAGAACGATACATTTTTTTGAGTAATATGATATCGTTTTAAACCAGTATATAGATTTAACCAAATTTATTAAGTTATTAGGTTTTAACTAGGTAAAAAACTAAATCTAATTTAATAAATCTGAGCGATAAAGTTTATATGTTACGTGACAGCCCTAACAATATAACTGGTTCATTAACATTAAATTTCCTTCTTCAGCTGTTGCATGCATGCTCACCGACTAGTAAACGTTTTATTTTGAACAAAAGTTTTTGAAAGAGAGGTTAATTCAAGATATTTGCCAGTAACAAGTAAATTTGCAAGAGAACCTTAGCAAACTTAAAACAAATTCCAATTTTCAATGAATGAGTGTCTGTAATCTTGCATTAAGCCAATTAGATAGATACACTTTAACCTTGACCAGAAAGCCAGAAAGCGATAAACATCCGCTTTAATTTTTATTGATGGCTTGAATGTTCAAAGTTGAGATAATTATAAATATCAAATTTTTTTCGTATTGAAATTAAATTTATATAGAACTCAATCTCTTAAGCATAAAAATTTATAATTTTATAATGGAATTCTTGAAGTTTTTGAAAAACAGTATCCGAAATCGACCAAATAATTAAAATTATTAACTGAATACTCACTAAAACTTATTTAGTTTTGGAATATTATATAGTTTATTATTCCGGTAGTTTTCACCAGATTCAAGAAGTATAATCAATCTCTTGAGCATAATAATGTATAACCTGGTGATGGAATAGGTTAAATATAATAAATTCATTAACAGCGTGGTTAAGTATTTAGAGTAGGTATTTAAATAATTAAATAGTATTTAAACACTCACCCCAGTATTTAAGAGGTATTTAAAATACTCAATAAAATGGCAGTATTTAGACAGTATTTAAATACTTTTGCATGGTATTTAGTATTAAAAAAAATTTAAACACTTTGACAAAAAATTGCTTCATCAATCATCTATTCCATGTTGTATATTCTTTGATATTCTACATATGTGATGGGTATGTTCTATAAAATAGTCTGTGCAAACTGCTTTAATCTGTATTTTTTGTATTTAGCTTTGTTAACAGTGAATCATTGCAAGACATTTTTCGTTTGGTTTGCCCTAGTCTTTCTATTATGTGTCGACAGACGCTGCAAGTAAAAATTAATAAATTGATTTTGGAAGTGCAGGAGACTGTACGGAATCAGCTAGAAGAGGCTTAGTATGTATGCACAACTGCAGACCTATGGAGTTCATCCAACAGATCATTTTTAGGTATAACGGCTCACTGGTTTGTTGTTTCAAGTCTAGAAAAAAAATCTTCTGCTCTAGCATGCCTGCGCTTCACAGGGAAACACTCATATGATAAAATTGCTTCAGCAATAAGTCAGACACATGCTAGCTTTAATATTGAAATTAAAGTGTTATTCACATGCAATGATAATGAATCAAATATGGTGAAGGCATTTAGTAAGAGTTTTGCAGTTAAAGAGCAGTTATTGTCTGAAGGTGATAAAGACTTTGAGTTTTATGGTGATGATGAAGATGTTTCGTTTGACACGGCCAAAGCTACTGCAATTTGGAATTCCACAACTTTAACGACTTTAACGAAAAAGCCCACGATTCCTTTAAGAAATGCCTTATTACAGGGAATTGACAAACGTTTTGAACTTATCTTAGTGATAAAGAATTTCTACTTGCTTCAGTGACTCATCCTCGCTTTAAACTGCAGTGGATAGATGATTCAAAACTCAGGGCAAAATGCCTGCAACTTTTAGAACAATCTGTGTCTACTATTAAATCAAGTTTATCAGAACCGGTTTATAAAAGCAGGATCAATGACAGTAAAACAGAAACGTTCTTTGACTTTGATGATGAATTATCCACAGAACAATCGCAACAACATTTTCAGTATCACTTTATTTTTAGATGAATTCTACTCACTCGCTGAATCTCTCTACTCTTTTTCTATTCCTTTCTACATCTCTGGTGATTTCAACTTGCACTTCAATAATTTATCATGTTCTTACACTTGTAGATTTAATGATATTTTGTCTTTTTAACTTAACTCAATATTGTTCTTTTCCTACCCATACTTCTGGTAACACTATTGATTTTATTATAGATTCATCTTTTTCTAAGCCTATCAATATCTCTGCTAGCCCTGTTCCTTATTCTGATCACCTTCTTATTGAATCTGTTTTTTCATTAGATTTTCTTCCTTCAAATTCATCTATGTCTATTTCTTAAAGATGCTGGTCTTCTCTTAATAATCTGAATTAATTTCTTCAGTGCTTCCCACGATCCACCACGGCCAGTCAATCATCGACAGGAAGAGTGAGTTTCAAGGACATCTGGCTTCTATTTGCCATCAGAAACAGGTTAGATTTCATCTGATTAGTTAATCAATTTAACTTTAATCAACTTAATCCAAATAAATTATTTTTTAGTTGCAGTTTTTAAATTTTATTTCACAAACTATCTGGTTGTTATCCTCAGGTGCAGATGGTTGTGAACAAGCTGAAGGAAAATAACAAGATAAATTCCGCCAAACACAACATCGTTGCCTACAGACTCGAGACTGGGGATGGGAAGGTTATTGGCGACTCATTTGACGACGGAGAACACCAGGCCGTGGGCAGGATGCTTCACGTCTTGGAAGTTAGCAACTTATAATCATGTTTTGTTTCATACTTCTTATTTTAATGGGTTGAACTTCAGAAATGAATTCCTTGTTCTGAAACATTAGGCTCATCATCAATCATATTGTTACTGCCATATAAATATTCAAAAAATTTATAAAACTTAAACAACTTTTATTTTATTTCGCAATATAGAAACATTGATCATATTATAAATCATACTTTTAAAAATCAGGGTAAACTTATAAATATTCAAATTATTAATAAATATTATAATTTTTAGCAGATTGACGCGAGAAACGTGATGGTGGTGGTTATTCGTTGGTTCGGAAACATCCTACTGGGACCGGATCGCTTCAAACCCATCAACACCTGTACTGGAGACATACTGGAGGAGCATGGGTATCTACAGCATAAGGTTGGGTTTTTCTTTTCTTACATGTTTATTTATGTGAGAAATAAAAAAAATTACAAGTGCTAACTATAATTTATATTATAATTAGTAGTAATAATAATATTTTTATAATTGTTATTATGAATAATAATTTTAATAGTTCAATTTTTTTAATTTCGATTAAATTCGTATTTTGCAGCTTCCAAAGAAGACCAAAAAATCACCCCCAACTGTCACAGCAGTAATTGATCCCACTAAAAATCAGAAAAAAGTCCAAAAGATGATTAATAATACTCATTCCTTTGTATATGTGTGTATATAGTCATAATAGTACATAATGTATGTGTTATGCCGGTACTGCAGATGTTTGTATAGGTATAGTCATATCCATGCGTATAATATGTCTTTGGTGTGTGTGTAATGCTATATTGTTAGCACATCGTAAATGTTAAGTACATATTATGAACGTAATGTTATAAACGTTGTAATGTTTTGTATATGTTGTAAAAATATAGTCATGAACCCTGGAAAAAAGGTGTTCGTATGTAATTTAATCAAGGGTAAAAAGATACCATCATACTTTTCACATAAAAAACAAAAAATGAATAAAAAATTGTTCTCAGATTAATGGTGTTGCTAGAAGTTCGTACTTTCATCTACGTCAAATAAAAACTTTTGTCTTTTTTTGACGATCCTACTTTTCTCTTTCTTGTTACTTCGTCAGTCTTATCTAGGATTGCTATTGTAACTTGCTCTATTATGATCTTCCTTATTCTATACTCATCCTTTAAGTAAAGTTTATAACTCTGCCGCTCATCTAATTGTTCGTGCCCCTTTCTTTTCTCATACATTTCCATATCTTGTTCTCTCGCACTGGTTATTGATGGATTGTTTTTGTAATAAAGAAATTTTTTAGGTTTTAAATTAAATTTTTTTTAATTATTATTCAGTGTGGCAATTAATTATTTGGTATAAAATTAAAAAAATATAAAATCGACATTACCGACATGGATATATATATATATACATATATATAAATATATATATATATATATATATATATATATATATATATATATCATTATATCCATGATTACCGAAAATAATTTTAAAAATTGAAAAATTGTAGGTTCTGCTTCAACCCATAAGGAAGTGTTGTATATTGGTAATAGGCCTCCCCTTGTTTTTGACTCGAACGATAAAATATCACCCTCCAACTCCCCTCCGGAAGAAAGCTTCTTGTTCGACCGTTGAAAGTGAGCGAAGGTTGTTATATTTATTCTAGTTATATGTATCAAACAGTATCTTATTGGACAAAGTAGTATCATAAAATAAAGAAAGGTACTTTTTTCAAAAATTTAAAAAATTCTCAATTTGATTTCACTGCGATATCGATGATGATGATGATTGTGACCTGACTAATTAAAAAACATCAAATAAAATTTATAAAATAGGATGGGTATATCATGCATATTTACGCATGTTGGCTCAGCTTGGCTTGGCTCGGCTTGGAATCGGATGTTAAGCAAGGTGTGGTCTCAAACTATTTTGAATTCTCCCCGAAAAATTTGAATTGCGTGCGTACATATGTAGCACTGATTACTGTTGCTATTATAATTAATTTATATAATATATATATATATATATATATATATATATATATATATATATATATAAAGCGAGCAAAATTTTAATATAAAAGCGCTTATAAATCTACGTATATTGGCTCAGCTTGGCGTGGCTTGGCTCGGCTTGGAATCGGATGTTAAGCAAGGTGTTGTCTCAAACTATTTTGAATTCTCCCCGAAGTAACTAAAATCCATGTATACAACTAATTAATAAGATTATATGTTTATATAAAAAAGCAATATAGCAGATTCAACCAGCCAATCAGAAAGTTTCGAAAGCGTTCGTTCGAAGACGTCAATTTAGTACGGTTAGCATTGTGGCTAAGACTGTATAATAGTTTAGTACATACTTTAAACAAGTTTTTTACTGATGTGAATGATTGAAATAATGAAAATGTATGGTTGAAACGAGTATAAATAGGAGCTGAGACAACATGAAATACAGATCAGGCATTTTGCTTCGCTTGAAGCAGTCTGTCTGATCTTCTTTATTTTATTATTTTTAATTTTTATTTATTTTATTATATAGAATTATATAGAATTATATAGAGTTATGTGGAGTTATATAGAGTTATATAGAGTTATTTATGTTGCCTGTGGTTTGTGTGTTTGTATGTTGTATTTTTTTTTATATTTTAGGTGCCTTCTATAGCATTCGCTCATACATACATACACACATGTTTGTTTGTGTGGTAGTGTTTTATGTTCTGTTTTACTCTATTTTCTCTTTCTTTCTGAGTCTTGAGTTAAGTTAATGAAAGTTAGGTGAGATTAAAAATTAATTATATACGTAGGCTAGGGCATAAGGTAAATTAGTTACATAGGTAGGTTAGGGACTTCTATTCTTTAACTCTACTTGGCGGTGTGTTATATAGAGTTATATAGAGTTATATAGAGTTATATAGAGTTGTATAGAGCTATATAGAGCATAAATCCTATATAGATACCTTTCTTTGAGCTTTGCCCACCTCTGGTCTAATGAACTCAAAAATCTTCAGGAAATTAATTGAAATCTGTAATATGCCGCAAAATATGATATTTAACCAAATAAAATATCGATAGTAAATAATGTATTCATGTTATTAACCTTTGAAACTTAGAAACGTGTTGCCATTTTTCGCCGTTTTCTTAAAAGCAGTAAGCCATTCAGCCAAATAGCAAAGCGACGGCAAGTAATTTCATGGATCCGGCCCATGGATATATAACTACCTTTTTAACTACCTTGGATTGTTGCTGGCTTATTGGTTCTTATCAATACTTAAGAAATTGCATGGGTTTTAAGGAAAAAGCTATATAAAATATTTACTTGATTTATTATGTTTAAAACAATGCAATTAAATCAAATTATATATTTAAAAATTTTTTTTTTATATTGAATATAAAAATTGGATTTTGTCCGATGAAATACTTACTGAGCTTACTGAAGCCATGGGTTGACATACTAGGATTGAACTATAGTCACACTGTTGAGTTTTCTTTATAAATAAGACGGCGTAATTAGATTAAAAATTTTCATTCGACCAACTATTTTCATTATTTACGATAAATATTTTACATTCTGATGCTCATAGAAAGTGGATTGCTGCAATCGTACGCTGGCTTACAGCGGTGGCCTACCGGGTCCCATCGAACTCTATGAGAGCGGTCATGCCGTCAGTCTGCCTGAGTTCGTTTCGTGAAGAATTCCACGCTGAGTAGTCGCCGAATGCAAGCAAGATGAGGACGGAGAGTGGCATTTTATGGCATCAGCAATCCACTTAGTATGAGCAGCAGGATGTAAAATATTTATTGAACATGAAGGAAATAATTGTTAAAATAACAACTTTGAATTATTTACGCCATTTATTTCATAAAAAAATCAATACAAATTTAACAAGATCGACCATTTCTAATATATATATATATGTATATATATTAGTTTATTTAATGCTAATAAATTGTAATTATTATATATTAGTGCTGATGTTTTAATAATATTAATTTTAATTTTACGGTAGTTAGTAAATTTGGTGCGTATAATAATAACCAGGCAACGCTGTGAACAATTTCAAGGTTCAATGGCTGATTGTTTGATTATTATTTAATTGATTGATTGATTATTGATTGATTGATTCAGCGGTTGATTGACTGGTTAATTGATAGTAAAGTATCAAAAAGTATCTTATTGAACAGGAATCATAAAATGAATAAAGATACTTTTTTCAACAATTTAAAAAATTCTCAATTTGATTTCAATGCGATACCGATGATGATGAAAATTTTTATAATAGGATGGGTAATTCGTTGCGAAAACGTTGGAGGAAATGACGTTAACACTAGTTATTTAACTGCATGGTAGGGAAATTAGGCTGTATAGAGGTTATATTCGATTCCTATCAAAAAATATTTTAACCAAACATCATGCGAACACAAAACTAAATAAAGAAATATAAATATGTAAGTATATAAATTTTGGCATATTTATACATTCAAATTTTACAAGGTATTAAGGTGCGATCTCGAATTATTTTGAATTTTCTCAGAAAAATTTAAACTGCCTGCGTACATAGAAGATAAAATTAATTACTGTTGCTTTTATAATGATGGATTTATATGATAAACATAAGAAAGTACATACAAGATGATCATGAACTAACAACGTATCAAAGAAAGGAACCGACCTTGACATTTAAAAAGCTTTTTAATTTCATTTCATTGCGATATCGATGAGGATGGTGATGATTGTGACCTAACCAAAAAAAAACAGGACACGGTGATGATTATGATTCTACAAAAACATGGCGGTACTGATGATGATTCTTCAGAAACAACATTAAAAAAAATTGTACATAATATGATTAACAATCCTACAAGATCCAGTCAGCCAATCAGAGAATTTAGTTTCTCTCTCTCTCTCTCTCTCTCTCTCTTTCTCTCTCTCTCTCTCTCTATATATAACAACAAAAATTTATGTAATAAAATATAGACGTATCAAAAGTAATATGGCAGATAAAACTAGCCAATCAGAAAGTTTCGTTGAAAGGCGCTCCTTAAATTTGTTAGCATCGTTGTTAACGACTTATATCAGTGTATAGCATACATTGACTAAACTTTTTACTGATGTGAATGATTGAAAGGATGAGGATGTATGGCTGAAACGGGTATAAATAGGAGATGAAAGAACGTTGAAATCAGATCAGGCGCTTCTGCCAGAAATGCCTGATCTCATTTTTTTATCTTTATAATTTTTTTAATTTATTTTTATTTTATTTTAATTATATAGAGTTATATAGAGTTGCGCGGCTATATATGTTTGTCTGTGGTTTGTATGTTGTATTTTTTTTTATATTTTAGGTGGGTTCTTTAGCGGTTGCTCCTACATACATACAGCATGTTTGTTTGTGT